TATTGGTAGCTTAGAAGACACATCTCAAAAATTGTAGCATAATTACAGTAGCACAAGATGAGAATAGACATTCATAAGTATAAAATTAATCAAGAAAAAAATTCTTATTCATACTACCACTAATGAAGTATATTAAGATTAAATCTTAGAAATATCTCTATCAAAAATAGATAAAATTATAAAAGTTTATTTTAAAGTCTATCAATTATTTTTGTGTAGCCTAATCACATACTACTGAAGCAGAAGTGGTATCCACTTCTGAAATACTTTGCCTCCGGAAACTCTATGAATTTGGAGAAACGATGAACGTTATACAAGTGCTCAGGTCTTTCGTTCATAGGGTTGCTATGAGTCATCTATGACTCCATGGCACTTAACAACACCACCACCCACATAGAGTACTGTGGGGCCTAGTGGATAGAAAGTTATGCTACCAAATCAAAGGTGGGTGATTTTAATCTGCGGCCCTCAGGCCTGGTTTTAAAAGTTTTTGGTCAAACATTCTTCTAAGTGGTATAGCACTGGTCTGTCCATTTGCTGTACAGAGGTAACTCGTGGTTGCTGTGATGCTAAACACTGTGACACTGATGCATCAAATGCAATAATGGTTATCATGGTGGACAATGTTTGGTGGAGCTCTCCTATTAAAACTAGCTTGGAAGCAGGAGTGGCATCCACTTCCAAAATAGCTTGCCTCTGGAAACTCTACGAATTTGGACAAACAATGAAAACTATACAAGCGTTCAGGTCTTTCCTTCATGGGGTCACTATGAGTCGTCTACGACTCAACGGCACTTAAGAACCAACACCACCACCACCACCACCACCACCTAATCACATGATAATAACAACCGATACAATATATATAAAGCAGTCTCCAAAGAGCATTTTACTCTATAATGTAAATATTTTAAGGCATCAAAGAAAGGAAGCATTAGTGATATATCTTATATTTGGAGAACACATATACATCCCCACAAGAGCAGGATATTTGTTTTTTCTGACTAATGAACTTTAAGCACCTAAATCAGTGCCCTGTTTATTATGGTTGTGTCTAATAAATAAATATTTAATGAAAGAATATATCATATAGCTTAAAATGGAGTTTAGTTTAGATGATAAAAGGCCTCCTCCTAGCTAAGGATTTTAGAATAATCTTATTCTCATAAGGAAGGGTTGTTAAAGTCCAAGTGTCATTAAGACCTATTCATTTAGAGATATATACTAATTTGGGGATTGGGTGTATGGGGAATAAAAATTTATTACTGGAAGGAAACTTAAAAAAAAAACAACCCTCACCCTTTCCTTTAGATTTTCTTCAACTTTTGCCAGCATTTCATAGGTCCTTGAAAGCTCCTCTTCTTTCTCAAGGGTCTCACTCTTTTCTTGTGCCATTATCTCCTTTTGCTTTTTTAGCTGATCATTAAGAATTCTTAACTCTTCCTGGTTTTCAATAGTCTAGAATTAAAATCAATCAACAAATAAATGTTGAGAGTAAACTAAATATTAGCTTACATTTATAAAGTTAGGGGGAAAACAGTCATTTTATTCTGACTGTACATAAAGAAACCAGAGAAAACTGTACCAGAAAAGACTAACTAAATAGAAAGTGAGTAGTTAATATATTGATTTAATGCATTGTCATCAAATTGGAACCAACTTATAGGTGGTTCTCCAGAAGGTTTTTAGAAGGTAAATCCCATGGGAGAGGATTGCCCATCTTTTTTCCTGCGAAGCATTCAGGAGAATTCAAATGACCAGAGAGAGTGCCACCTTTGGGTGAGGAGTATAAGACCAGTACACTGAAAACCTACACTCATATACACCCACACACCAGTGAGAGAACAGAAGATTCCTAAAAGATATGTAGACAATGGCCAATAATTACATAGAAACGCTTTAACATTATTAGTCATCATGGAGATGCAAATTAAGACAATAATGTAGTACATATTCACTAGAACGGTTAAAATAAAAAATATTACAATATGAAGTATTGGTAAGAATGAAAAGACATGAAAATTCCAATTTATTGGTTGTTGTTATTATGTGCCGTCGAGAACATAAAGAATTTATTGGTAGGAATAAAAAATTAAACTATTTGGAAATCAGTCTAGTAAATCATTATAAAGTTAAATATCCAGATCCCTAATACTCAGTTAATTAGTTTAGGTGCTCCATAAATAAAAACAAAACAAAACAACCACACCAAACCCAAAACCATCACCAAAAAACAAACATGTCCATAAAATGATTTATATAACAATATTCATAGCAGTTTTATTGAAAATAGTCAAGTACTTGAAATAATGCAAATTTCTATCAGGGGAAAAAAATAGAGAAGCAAATTATAGTATATACATAAAATGTAAAAGGAATTATAGAAAGAATCAGACACATAAAAACACATACTATATGATCTTACAAGTTTTAGAAGATATAGCTACCTATATATTAGTTCACTTAACATATGTAAACAACTCAGTGACAGTGGGTTTGGTTTGATTTTTTTTTTTTAGAAGTTGGTAAAACGTACAAAGACGTAGACACATTATCATATACATTATAAAAAATCTTACCATTTCAATGTTTTCCTTTAGGTCAGCCTTCAATTGCTCTTTGTCTGCTGTAATACTCTCTAACATTTGGTGCAGTTCATTTTTCTCCTGAAGTAGAGAAAGCTCAGTCAGCTCATCATCTCCAACATCGGAAATCAGTTGAGTTTGCTGGTTTTCTGAGTTTGGGATTTTGTCTATGTAGATTGTCTATAATGCAGAGAATTTAAAAAATAATTTTACAGTAATAAAAATAGTTGATAATGATATTGCTTGTTGTTGTTGTTGTTATGTGCCGTCGAGTCGCTTGCTACTCATAGTGACCCTATGTACAACAGCCCTAAACTCTGCTCTGTCCTGTGTCAATCACATTGTCTCTGACACTCCCATCTCGATTACCCCAGTCACTGAATCAATCCACCTCATAGAGGGCCTTCCCTTCCTGTGGTGTCCCTCCCAAGCATGATGTCCTTCTCCAAGGACCGGTCTCTCTTTACAACATATCCAAAGTATGTTAGAGGGAGCCTCAGAATCCTTGCCTCCAAGGAGCCACCTGGTTTAACCTTTTCCAGGATGAATCTGTTTGTTTTCCTAGCAGTCCATGGTACTCTCAATACTCTTTTCCAGCACTACAGCTCAAAGGAATAAATTCTCCTTCTATGCTCCTTGGTCATTGTCCAACTCTCTGATTCATACAGTGATTGCAAAGACCATGGCCTGTATCAGGCGTACTTTAGTCTCCAGAGAGAAACCATTGCTCTTCAGTACTTTGGAGAGGTCCCTAACAGCACATTTTCCCATGGCAATATGACTTTCAATTTCCTGGCTACTGGTGCCAAGAGTGTTGACTGTGGAGCCAGGCAAACTAAAGCTGTGTACAATCTCAATCTCTTCACCATCCATCCTGATTCTGCCAATTGGTCCAGTGGTGAGAATCTTTGTCTTCTTGACATTGAGCCTCAATCCATATAGGAGGCTGCAGTCCTTGACCCTCTGCAGCAGGTGCTTCAGGTCCTCTTCATTTTCAGCAAGCAGGGTTGTGTCATCTGCATAACGCAGATTGCTGATAAGTCGTCCACCAATCTTGACCCCACATTTCTCCTCATAGAGCCCAGCCTCCCGAATAATCTGTTCTGCATGCAGGTTGAAAAGGTATGGCGATAGGATGAATCCCTAGTGTATGCCCTTCCCAATTTTGAACCATGCAGTGTTCCCTTGCTCTATTCTGATGACTGCCTCCTGGTCCAAGTATAGGTTTCGCCTTAGAACGATCAAGTGTTCTGGGATTCCCATTCTTCTCAGAGTCAGCCATAGTTTGTTATGATCCACACAGTCAAATGCCTTTGCATAGTCAATGAAACACAGATAGACATTCCTCTGGTATTCCCTGCTTTCAGCCAAGATCCATCTAACGTCAGTTACAATATCTCTAGTACCACGACCCCTTCTAAACCCAGCCTGGACTTCTGGCAGTTCCCTGCTGATGTGCTGTTCCAGTCACTTTTGGATAATCTTCAACAGAATCTTGCTTGCATGTGAAATCAATGATATTGTTCTATAGTTTCCACACTCTGATGGGTCACCCTTCTTTGGAATGGGAACAAATATAGATCTCTTCCAGTCAGTTGGCCAAGTGGTTGTTCTCCAGATTTCTTGGCACAACTTGGTAAGCACATCGAGGGCAGCATCTGTTAGCTGAAATATGTCAGTTGGTATACCATCTATTCCTGGGGCCTTATTTTTTGCCATTTCCATCAAAGCAGCCTGAACGTCTTCTTTCATCACCATAGGCTCTTGCTCATATGTTGTTTCATAAAATTCTTCTGTGTCTGCCAATTCCTTTAGATACAGTGATTCAGTATATTCTTTCCATCTTCTTTTAATACTTTCTGGATCATTATTGCTTGTTATGTACCACATATTCTCATATATAACCTGTACTTTAGCCTTAAGAAAGGAACGTGATTCAAATTCACCAGCTTGCTCCCCAGGAGAAGGATGGGCAATCTCCTCTTATACAATTAACTGCCTCTGAAAACCCACTAGGAGGTCAGTTATGGGTTGGTTCCAAATCAACAGTACATAGTAACAACATGGCCTTTATGAAAGAAGCTCTGGTGGCATAGTTTGCTATGAGGTGCACTTCTAACCAAAAGGTCGGCAGTTTGAATCTACCCGTCTTTGAAGGGCTGAGTTGTTGCAGGAAAGGTCTCTTCCTTTTTTTCTACTATTAAGGAACATAGTGCTATTAAATGTGAAACTTTGCTTAGCAAGAGAAAGATGAGCAGTCTCTACCCATAAAATTTTACAGCTTCTTTCAGACACTCTGAGTGGGAATAAACTTCACTGGCAGTGAGTTATTGCTTTAGATCAGTATTATCATCACCATTAAACATGATAATATTAAACCCCAGGTGAATTCTCGTGGTAAGAAGCTGCGCCGCAATCCTGAAGGCACGTGGTTTGAGGCCACCAACTGCTCATTGGGAGAAGGATGGACAATCTTCTCCCGTAAGATTAACTGCCTCTCACATCAAGTCCTGATGGTAAAAAATGGTTTCTGAATTTGTCAGGTGTCCCATGGAGAGTTAAGGTCACACCACCCCGGTTCAGAACCACTGCTTTCAGATTTCAGACAATGCAGCAAGACAAAGAAAAGTGAATACATATTGTATTTAGAGAAGGAGTGATCAGGTTATTCCTACTTGTGAGTTACTCTAAATTAAAATCCAAGATTTAAAAAAAATAAAATAAAATAAAAGATTAACTGCCTCGGAAAACCTGCCAGAGGGTCAGCTATGGGTCGGTCCTGACTCTACAGTACACCACCACCACCACCACCACCACAACAACAACATCAAAACTCTGAGAGGGTAACTCAGTTTGTCAGAGCCACTTTGAAAACAAAGCCAGATGTTTAATTCAATGCTGCCACCTTCAGAGTTTGTGCTTTGGACCCAGCCCACTACTAAGAATTACCTGGTTAGCTACTGATAATTAATAGATACCTTGCTGCACGCCTGGCTGCTCAATCCATCAGGCAATTTTCTCCCTTGTGACTCAGTCTTTAAAAACCCTCTAGAAGATCAGCTATACGTCGGTTCTGACTTGACAGCACACAACAACAACAACAACATATTGTATGCCAGGTTAACTTGACTTTATATAAACTAAGCACAGTAAGCAAAAGATATTTGCTTTTCTTTCCTATGTGTCTTCTATAAAAATTCTCTAGGTTTTCAACTAATAGTACTATGCTTCTTAGTATTAGAAAAGGAGGAAGAAAATGTTTCTAAAATAAAGAAATCAGCCCTTCAAGGCCTGTCAATTATTCCCCATTCCCTATATCCTGCAAATTTTTATTTTCAGATGCAATTCTATTTGTAAAAGCCTAGAGGCTTCCTGACTTTGGTTTTTTTTATATGTAGAGGACAAAGTAATATTTATAGAATTCTATCTCTCTTGTGGTTACAATCTACCAGCAGCTCTTTGGGAGAAAGATGGGCAGTGTCCTTCTGTGGGATTTACAGCCTCCGAAAACCCACTGGAGGGTTGGCTATGAGTTGCTTCTCACTCGATGGTAATGACTTTGAGATCTCACACGATACTAGCATAACTCATCTCTATACATTTTTCATATCTTGACTAAGAAATGCATTTTAGGATAAATTCATTTATCCATAAATGTCTTATGTAGAAGTAAGCTAATATAAGGACTTAATGGTAAAAGAGACAAAGACTGATACAATAATTGTTAGTGTGAAATCAGGGCACCACTATAGGCAGCCTCATGATATATGGACAAAAGACTAGTTTTCAATGATTTCATTATTTGGTGGTGTAGAAGGGTACTGAATATCTATCCTATGACCTGTCAAACAATCTGTCTTGGAGAGTGTTCCTTATAGGCCAAGAAGCTTAAACTTCATTTCACATACCTGGGGTATATTGTCAGTCCTTGGAAAAGGTTATCATGCTGGGAAAGGGAGAGGGTCAGAGAAAGAGTAGAAGACTCACAAAAGATGGATTGACACAATGACTAATAATGGGCTTGAGTGTATTGGAGATATTGAGGATAGTTCAGGACAGGGCAAGGTTTAGATGTGTTGTTCATAGAGTCGACATGAGTTGTAAGCAACTCAAAGGCTCCTAGGAACAACAACATAATGATATGCTAGTCTCAGAAACATTTAGCTGTATGTTAGCTATACAAATTTAAAAATTTTGTTGTTGTTAAATGCCTTCGAGTCACTTGTGACTCATAGCGACCCTATGTACAACAGTCCTAAACTCTGCTGTCCTGTGCCAATCGCACTGTCTCTGACACACCCTTCCTGATTACCTCAGTCACTGAATCAATCCACCTCATAGAGGGCCTTCCCCTCCGGCACTGTCCCTCCACCCTCCCAAGCATGATGCCCTTCTCCAAGGACCGGTCTCTCCTCACAACAAGTCCAAAGTATGTTAGACGGAGCCTCAGAATCCTTGCCTCCAAGTAGCTGCCTAGTTTAACCCTTTCCAGGATAGTTTATAATAACTTATGACCATCTTAAAGAATGCTGGTGACTCAATAGTTACACCTCCCGGATGTTAACAGAAAGGTTTATGGTAGCAACTCAATGGGAAGAAGAATTAGTTGTTCCTATAAAGAAGGAAGCCAGGCTGCTCCTTGGAGGCAAGGATTCTGAGGCTTCAAATGACAAACCTTTGGACATGTTGCAAAAAACGACCCATCCTTGGAGAGAGATGTCCTGCTTGGGAGGTTGGAGGGACAGCACAGTAGGGGAAGACCCTCTATGAGGTGGATTGATTCAGTGACTGGGGTAATCAGGATGGGTGTCTCGGAGACAGTGAGATTGGCACAGGACAGAGCAGGGTTTAGGGCTGTTGTACTTAGGGTCGCTATGAGTCGCAAGCAACTCGATGGCACATAACAACAACAACAACAGAGTTTTTAAAGACATGTCAAATATGTGGAGTCTCAGAAAAGAAAGTACTGTACAGTTTGAACTTTTGCTTTCCCTTTTAAAATTGATTATGGTAAGCTACATCCTGTCAGTTTCAACACATAGAGCTATGCTTATAATACTATTGCTGGTTGTTAATACGAGTATTTGATGATCAAGGTCATAATTATGTATTTTAGAATGTGACATTAAAAAACTATAATGCTTCTAAATAAGAACATAAACACTTGAAAAAGAAATACCCCTTACCTTTTCCTGATTTTCAACCATAATTTCTTCTATGCTTTCTTCTACTTGCAAATTCCTGGGAGTTTCTTCAGAAATTTTCATCTTCAGGGTATTAATTGTTTCTTGGTATTGTTTCAAACATTCAAGAGCATCACGTAATTGATCTTGTGTGTCTATATTCTTTGTAAAAGAAATATAAAAAGAATGTTATTAGAGTCTGGAACAAGGTAAACAATTTCATAGTTACTAGTTTATCATAAATAATTAATAAAGGCTTTTATAATTTTAAAAGTGTCTCCAAATTTTTAAAGTTTAGTCAATCCAATTTTTCTTTTTTACCATGTTTACAGTGTCTTGGATATCATTTTTGAGTTGGTCTCTTTCAATTTGCAGGCTTTCTTGGAGTTTTCTTAGGTCATCTTTTTCTTGGGTTATGGTTTTCACTTCTTCCAATGTTTGTTGCAGTTTCTCATTAGCCAATGTTTTCTCCTTTTCTATAGTTTGCAGCCTAGAATCTCTACTTTCTATTTCTTCCTTCAGCCTTTCCATTTCATTTAACCTTTCTTGATAATCAGCTGATTTCTCCTGAAGTTCATGGCTTTTATGAGAAAGCTTTAAAAGAAGAAAAAAAAAAATAAATGTAATACAGTATTCCATGGCCATAAACATGAAACTTAAATCCCAGAAGCTAAAAAGAACTTCTTTAAAAGTACCAACCTCTATCTTGACATCATCCAAACTTAAACCAAGTGTTTTAATTTCTTTGGAGAGGGCTTCTAAGTCTCGAGTCAGTCTTGCATTCTCCTCAAGGACCAGCTTATATTTGTCTTCATAGTCCATGTCACGGCTTTTAAAATCTTGGAATTCTTGATCAATACTTTTATAATTGAGCTGTGTAGCTGCTAGGTCATCTTTAGTTTTCTTAATTTCTTCTAATAAACCTTGAATCCTACTGTCCTTATCAGCTACTTCAGAAAGAAGCTTGTCTTTTTCTGATGTTGTTAGATTAAGTTCTTCAGATTTATCACGTATCTATGGAAAAGAAATATGATTCATGATTGTTAGTCATTTATGGTCTATTGAAGTTAGTTTAGAGGGTAGAAAAACTCTTATCTATAAAAGAACACATTTAAATTAAACAATCTGACTGAACAAAGGCATTATTTTCATTGTTATCTTTTTATAACTTAATATATTATCCTGTTAATCTGTTTGGGTTATATTAAAAATTGGATTAAGTATGAACACTTTCTCAGGATGTCTCTTTATTTCCTTACCTACCACTCTATAAAGTATTTTCTAACTTTGGAGCATGGCAAGAGTTTTATGGCTTTTCTCAGAACTTGACTTGCATTTAATGTCTTTTCCTTAGAATCTCTGAATGCAGTTCAGATTTCCAAAATCTTAATCCACAAGTATGTTAAATAATTACATATTATTTAAATATCTAAATTTAATCTCTATCTTCTTACAGGTTAGTTACTGAGAAATGGGATAAAGAGAGATGGGGAAAGGTGACAGATAAAGGAGCACATAAAAAAAGCTAGCAGAGTTGTTATAAGATGGGTTTAGAAGGCTGAGAAGCAATGAAACCTTAGGTCAGATGTTTATTAACTGCCTATTTTCTGGGACTAAACATAGCATCTATTTTAAAGAAAAACTAATGGAAATCAAGCCATGGGTTTAGAGAATAATTCACCAGTCTCCAAGATCTACTGTTTTCTAAAACTTTATCAATGTCAACCTCTTTATTGGTTTGTTCAATATGGTTGATGTTGACTAAAACAAAAAGTCAACCCAACAAACCAACAACAAAAAAGTCTACGATCTATTTAAAATGTTCCATTTGGCGACCACAAAAACGACTGCAATGTGGATTATATTACCTACATACTTTTCAATATATCTTGAAATATCTTTATCTCTCTCTATGTATCATAAAGCTTAAATTGCTGTGAAGTCAGAGCTGACTCTCCAGTGAGTTTTTAGGGGCTGTAAATGCATGGGAGGAGATTGCCTATGTTTTTCAGAGTCACTGATAGATTTGAACCAGCTGCCTTTAAGATAGTAGCATAACTCTCTACGGACTATACCTGTGGAGTGTGCTCTTGTTCTCTCTTTTACCCATTCATCCATCCATCCATCCATCCATCCTTCACCTACTCACTCACTGTCATGGAGTTGGAACCAACTCACAGTTATCCACCCACTATTGGGTTTCAAAGGCTATAGATTATATGGAAGAAGATTGCCCATCTTTCTTCTGTGGCACTGCTCCTGGATTCCAATCATCAGAGACACGCAGTCTTTGGGTAAACATTGCAAAACTCTAGGGACTAGGCCACCAGAGCTACTATATATACCACTAGAGTGCTCACTCTCACACACACACACACACACACATATATATATATACAAACAGAGAGACACACACAACATTATGCATATACACACATATATAGTAAGATAGTTTTGTTGTTTTGGTTTTTTTTTAACCCAGTAGCATGAAAAAACCCAGGAAGCTCTGATGGCTTAGTGGTAGGAAGCTCTGCTGCAGTGTCAAAGCATGCAGTTTGAATCCACCACCAGCTGTTCTATGAGAGAAGAAGGGGCCATCTCTTCCTAAGTGATTAACTGCCTCTGAAAATCCACTGGAAGGTCAACTTTGAATGAGTTGGTTCCAACTCAGTGCAACACAGCAATAACAGGACAAAAACTAATTGCAATGTAGTAAGACTCAAATTTTCACAGGATTTCTGGCCTGCTGTAAAACAGATTATATTAAAACAATTAAGGTATGACTCTTTGAGTTGTGGTGTTGGGGAAGAGTACTGAATACTCCATGGACTGCCGAAAGAACAAATACGTCTTGAAGAAAGTGAGACCAGGGTGCTCCTTGGAAGTTAAGATGGCGAAGCTTCACCTTAACTACTTTGGACAGGTTGTTAGGAGGGCACAGCTGTGGAGAAAGACATCTTGTTTAGAAAGGTGGAGGGTCAGTAAAGAAAGGTACTTAACAGACGGATTGACAGAGTAACTATATCATTTGGCTCAGGTATATAGAGATGGTGAAGATGGTACAGGTTAGGTTTGGGTTCAGCTCTGTTGTTCAAAAGGTCACTCACTATGATTCCAATGAACTCAATAGCACATAACATATTGTGAGGTCTTTATTATAAAAGAAGGATTAGTTGTTTAAAATGTGTTTACCTCTTTTCTCAACATTTCTACTTCAGAAAATAATAATTTATATTCTGAGAGCAAATTAACTTCTTTGCGCAAAGCTGCATTTTCCTCAATTTCTTTATTCAGTTCTTTCTGGAGATGAGTCATTCTATTTTCTAACTCCAAGTTAGAGAGCAGATCTGAAAAGATTTGGTAAATTAATTAAAACAACAGCTGTTAAAATACACCACTGTTATTAAAATATTCTAAAGAGGGAGAAATTGAAGATTTCTACAAATTTGTGCAGTCTGAAATTGACAGAACATATAATTAAGATGCATTAATAATAAAAATTGGTGACTGGAATGCGAATGTTGAAAACGAAGAAGGACTGGTAATTATAAGCTTGGTAGAAATTACAGAGGTGGTAGCAGAAAGAATTGAATTTTGTACAGTGAATGATTTATTCATTGTAAATACTTTCTTTAAAATATACAAACTAAACACAAGGACCTCACTTGATGAGCTACACAGGAATCAGACTAATTACATCTGTAAGAAAAAAGTCACTGAGTCTCATTCAGTGTCAGCAGTCAAAACCAGACTGGGGGCTGATTATGACACAGACCAACGATTGATTACTCATGTGCCAGTTTAAATTGTAGCTGAAGAAAATAAAAACATGTTCACAAAAAGCAAAGTACAACTTTGATTAGGTCCTTCTGGAATTTAAAAATCATCTCAAGAATGGGTTTGAGGCCCTGAAGACTAATGATTGAAGAGCAGATGAGCTGTGGGATGACAATAAGGATATTATCTAGGAATAAAAAGGTCATTGCTAAGACTGAGAAGAAAGAAAAGAACAAAATGGATGTCACAAGAGACTCTTAAAATTGAACTACAATGTTGAGACACTAAAACAAAAGGGAAAAAATGGTGAAGTAAAGTTGAATAAAAGATTTCAAAGGGCAGTGTGGGGAGACAAAATATTAATATACTGAAATGTGCAAAGAGCTGGAGTTAGGAGACAAGAAAGGAAAGAACTGGCTCAGAATTTGTCAAGCTTAATGAACTGAAAAACAAACTCAAGCCTTGAGTTGCAATAATGAAGGATGCTATGGGTAAAATCTAGAAAGTTATGCTACCAAGCCAAAGGTGGGTGATTTTAATTTACAGCCCTCAGACCTGGTTTTAACTGTTTTTGATCAAACATTCTTCTAAGTGGTATAGCACTGGTCTGTCCATTTGCTGTACAGAGGTAATTCGTGGTTGCTGTGATGCTAAACACTGACACTGATGTGTTAAATGTGATAATGGTTACCCATGGTGGACAGTGTTTGGTGGAGCTTCCCGATTAAAACAAGCTTGGAAGCAGGAGTGGCATCCACTTCTAAAATAGCTTGCCTCCAGAAACCCTACGAACTTGGAGAAATGATGAAAGTTATAAAGTGTTCAGGTCTTTCATTCATAGGGTTACTAAGAGTCGTCTATGGCTTGATGGCACTTAACAACAATAATGGGTAAAATCTTCAATAATACAGGAAAAAACAAAAGATGGTGGGAATAAAGAAAGCCATAGCAAGGAGTTGGAAACAACCTAAGTTCCCATCAACAAACGAATGGATAGAGAAGTTGTGGTATATTTGCACAATGGAATACTATGCTGCATTAAAAAACAAGGAACTCATGCAATATTATTCAAAATGGTTGACTCTGGAGAACATTATGCTGAGTGAAATATCCCA